GTGTTCTTATAGCAAGCACCACAATACATGAAAAGGAGACTATTTTGGAAATGGCCCAAATAGCTTGAGCTATAAAAAGATAAGGCTGTCACGATTGTAAAAAAAAAAAATTAAAACAAAAAAGGTTGTGATTTTAGGAGGTGAACTTGCTCTGTAGATTATGTGTCATTGTCCTTGGCAGAGGCTAATGGGTGGAAACATTCTGACATTTTGTGCAGCATCAGAGGCGAGAAAAATAGAACAATGTCACAACCAGGTGCCACAAAATCTCTGACACAGGTTTCATGTTAGAAGCCTTAGAATCAACGTTGCTCACATGCTGTTGTAAATCAGGCAGAAATCATCTTTCCACTACTTTCCTATCAGTCATATCCAAAGTATTAAGCAAAACCATTCTGGATGCAACAATAAAGAAGCCCTCTACCTGTCACATTTAAAAGGGAGCAATATTCTGATGTCAGGAGACTGGAGCAGCACAGGAGGATGTTGCCCTGGTATCAGATGGCCTACATGGCGTTTTCAAGAAAAATAGGGCAGCCTACACAATCTTGCACACTGTTTATGAAAGCAGTATCAGCAAGTGTGTTGACATGAAGAATGGCTGCCTACATATTTGTAGCAACAAACACACAGCAGATGCGTCTCAGTGAGTCACAGCTACTTCTTCAAATATGAGAGGAGGGATAGAGGAAAGAAGGCTGGGGAGGAGGAGAGGGAGTATAAAAACCGCCATTTCACCTGTTTCTGTATCTAGGCTTGACAACACACACACACACATAACGCTAATATAGTTCACATATGGATATTTGGTAGGTCCTTTATGGACTTCTATAGGTGATTAAGGACAATAACATCTGGTACGTTGTTCACGATGGGAGCTAATTGACACACATAACAAATTCACATTTTCATAATAGAAACATTAGCTAGAGCAGGTATTGTGGTAAACAGGTGAGTAATAATAAGGCTGCTCTGTCATCATCTCTATTGGCTTGTCCTCTTTCATAACGCAGCTGCAAAGACCAAGACGTAGAGGGGGGAGAGTGTTGTGTTATAATAAAGTAATATAATAAATATGTGTTATTATAAAGTAATAATACTATTTTTGAAAATAGTAATGTGTACTAAATGACATTTTTTGAGTAACTAGCCCAACACTACAGTGAATATTTGTGCCTGAAGTGTTTAACCATCACATTTCAAACCCCTGCAGGTGACTTCAAAATAACTTAAAACCTGCAATAATGGACTTTTTGGCCACTTTAGGGCATTAGAAACAAGCTGAAAACAGATAAAACAGGTGCTTATTTAGACATTCAGCTGATACAGAGCAACATTATCATTCATTTGCTGTGAGGGTAGTCGGTTTATAGAGCTTTGTAGCTGCGTCTGAAAGCAATGAGAGCAGCAACAGTGATCCAAAACTGTAAAGTTGCAGGCTGTAGTCCAAAACAACAAGCTGAAAGATGACATAAAGGTCAGGTGATAATTCTCACTATGAACAAACCATTTACACATAGTCATGTGATCAATTACCAATATAAAAATAATAATTTGATTGCAACTATAACGTGCCTTCATTTTGATCCAGATAAAGCATCGTCTCTCCCAGATGGATATGACAGGACCGTGTTGTCAACGAGGGAGAAAGTTGGGTTTCAGGCTCTCTTTCTGAGCCCTGGAATGCAGTCAACACCAGCGAGAGACGCAGTGGAGAAGAGGCCCGCGGTTGCCATGGTAACCTCTCTCTCCGGTCCACAGTGACTTGATGCTCCTCCAGACTGAAGATGAGGTAGCACGAGGAGAGAAATTAAGCCACGGGCTTTAGACACATCATCACCGTCAACATCATCCTCATCATCATCATCATCAGACAACAAAGAGGCTTATGGGAAATGTGTTTTCAAAATAAAAGCCAGCAGGCCGAGAGAACAAGAGCTCAGTGTGTTTTCTGTTTACATCCATTAAAGTGAAGCAGCTGAGTCACTGTGGTCCAATATGAGGTCCTGGACCCCTCAGAGAGGTCACACAGAGGTCACAGGATGATACTAATAAGACATTCCTCTTATCAAACATAGAGGATTGATGTGACTATACAAACAGACTGTTTTATTTAGACAGATAATTAATTAATACACTGTGTAGGTGCTTAAAGGTGATCAATTATTGATTTTAAAGTGGGTCATCCATTGACTCTCTGAGGCTCACATTAACAGGGGTGGGGGGGTCTCACCTGGACGATGACAGGTGTGACGGAGCCGCTGAAGAGTAGAGTGAACGTCAGCAGCTGGTAACACAACACACACCTGAAACACACACCCAACCAATCAATCAATCAATCAATCAATCAATCAATCAATCATTATATATCATCAGATCCAGTTTGAGTCGTTTAATCAGTTGTTGTCTGTTTTTTACCAGCTGATTTAAAAGGTGAAATAATGTTTGACTGTGGCCAGCAGGGGGCGCTGCAGTCCTACAGCACTGAGGTTTATCCTGTCAAAGTAAAAGTCCAGTTTCTCTTACAGCAGCAACATTTATCCTGAGCTTTTACTTTGAAATCCAGTAACCACTTTCTGAGTGTGGAGCTAAAATACTATCATACCACCTTAAAAACAACCTCAATACTGCAATTATTATTATTATGTAGCTGTTTTAAAAGCTACTTAATAATAATAATAACAATAAAATAAAATATATTCCTAACTTTAAAGAGACAAATAAACTAAATGAAGAAATTCCCCAGCAGAACTCATGCGTGAGCTGGACGAGGCCTGCAGCTGATTGGACCCTGAA